AACGCTGTGGTGGCTGTACTGCTCCAGCCGTCTCCTTTGTGTTTGTTTGTTTCCCCCTGTCTGTGTTGTTTGTATGTGCGTGGTGGCTGTCACTCCTGGCTCCCGGCTCAACCTCCACTCACCTGCTGCAATCAGCTGTGCACCCTCCCCGACTACACACCTGCTTTCCATCAAGCCATTTACAACGGCATATCAACAGAGGCTCCACAACCTTTCTCCGCCAGATCGTCAAGTATCAGTCGTATCTTGCATCTCTCCTCCGGTACACAGAACCGTAGTGTGGAGTTGCGATTAGTTTCTGTTATGGATCAGTATCAACAGTCCTGCCAGTAACGTTACTATATTATCAATGCTACTTTAGTTATAGCCTGATATATGATAGCTAACTTCACAATGTTGTGATGTGACGTTAGCTAACATTCTGTAGCTAACGCCGGTCACTCACCAAGATAGCTGCCCAGTTCTCCACTGGTTCTCCACACATCACAGCTCAATTTCTCTCCGATGGCCTTTATTTCTTCGAATCCTTGGCTGCTCCTGGTCTCTTGGATGCCTAGCCTTGGCTGCTATAATTATAAGTTGTGGTCCGTCATATGCATTCGAATATTCATGTTCAACTTCTTCTGTGTCTTCTGTGTCGAAACTAGCATTGGGATCCATGTTTATTAATACGTTACACCGGCCGCTCTCCCCCTTGTTTCCCCCATGTTACGTCACACGCGGGAGGTCACGTGCCGAGGCTTTTTTATGCGGAAGTGAACATTTCTTACAAAAACGACGCCAGATGTCACTGTAGTGTATATTTCTGTATATTTTTGTGAAAATCTAGTGTATTCATCATTTTCCTACACATTTATTCACAGGTGTCTTTAACCTGGAACTTGCTCTTTAAGAACCAGGTATATCCCACAGGAATTGATAGGGACCAAAACAGTGAATAGAGTGAATATTGTACTTGTTGCTGTGATTTACTTCGTTTGCTAGAGTCACTAGAGCCACATGTACTCTTGTAGGGCCTGTTTTGATGAGCTCCAGATGAGGACTGTGATGGTGTGGCTGGTGCTGGACTACATCTGTGATGGAGTCTATATCTTGGATATAGCTGTTCGTCTCCACACAGGTACTGAAAAGACTAATTTCCATTACTACATGAACATTTTTGATTAGAAATTCTGTTCTGGATTGTTGTTTTAACTGATACCCTAATGCTTTGGTTTATTTGTGTTTCTAATGTATTTAAAGGTTTTTTGGATCAAGGCTTGATGGTAAAAGACATGCAGCGTCTGAGAGAATCCTACATTCAAACCTTGCATTGTAAGCTTGACATTTGCTCCATCCTCCCAACCGACCTCCTGTACCTGGCTGTTGGAATGAGCTATACTCCTCTTCTTCGATTCAACCGCCTGCTGCGTCTGTCACGTCTGTTTGAGTGGTTTGAACGTACAGAAACACGAACGGGCTACCCCAACGCTTTCCGCATCTGTAAGCTGGTTCTGTACATCCTGGTGATCATCCACTGGAACGCCTGTGGATACTACAGCTTTTCCAAGGTCCTTGGACTGGGATCTGACTCTTGGGTTTATCCCAATGCATCTGATCCGGAGTTTGGCACCCTGACCAGAAGTTACATATACTGTCTCTACTGGTCCACTCTGACCCTGACCACCATTGGAGAGACTCCTCCTCCAGTTAGAGATGAGGAATATTTGTTTCTGATTTTTGACTTTCTGGTAAGTCAATATTTCCTTAGCTGATATTGTCTTACCTTAAATGATTCATAAATTCCTTTTACTGTAAGGATCCCAGTTGTTCCAGTCCATCAATACAGCTAATACCAATATTTCTGTCCTAGGTTGGTGTTCTGATTTTTGCCTCCATTGTGGGTAATGTTGGAGCCATGATCTCCAATATGAACGCCACAAGAGCAGCCTTTCAGAGCCGCGTTGACACCTTGAAACACTACATGCAATTCAGGCATGTAAGCAAGGTGCTAGAGCAGCGCGTCATTCGTTGGTTTGACTACCTCTGGACCAATCAAAAGACAATAGATGAACAGGAAGTGCTGCGCAGCCTGCCCAATAAACTGAGAGCTGAGATTGCTATTAATGTTCACCTGGACACACTGAAGAAGGTAAAGACACTTGGATAGTGTGACACAATTCCATTTAGCCTCTTTTCTGCAGTATTTCTGTTAAGAGTATCATAAAGGCCACAGTATCATTCTTAGAGTTTGGCTAAAACACAACGTTGTCTTAAATGCTGCATTGTCATTTAAACACTGTCTGTTGGAATTGGTTAACAGTGTCATTTAAATGTTTTTGTTTTAATTGTTGCACCATCATTACGTGTAAGCTCCTCAACATTATTGTTGTCCATGTGTGTTTGAATAAAGGTGCGCATTTTCCAAGACTGTGAGGCAGGTCTCCTCGTAGAACTGGTTTTAAAACTTCGACCGCAGGTTTTCAGTCCTGGAGACTACATCTGTAGGAAGGTTAGTATTCACTTTACCTCTACTGGTACTAAAGAGATACAATTAATTGCTTTTGCTGTAGTACTGTCTTGAATGTATTAAACTAGTGACTGTTTACCGTACAGTGGTAATACCATAATAAGCTGCTGCTACAGAGAACAACACTTTTTTTTAATACTGAACTGTACACATGTTAAATTGAGCAGTTTATCATTGGGCTCTTGCGAGATTGACTGTCTAGCGTGAAAGGTTTACGTAAGCAATACGATAATACAGACAAAACCAAAACTGGGCACCAAGACTGGGTAACACAATGTTAGCGACTTGTCGATCACAAGATAGCTACCCTGCTTTTTCCTATATTGAACTCCAAGTGGGACCATAATTTACAAAAAGAACATCATGCTGTATCAAAGAAGACAACACAATGTCTTATTATTCAATGAATTTAAATAAAACATTTAAATGTCATTATGAAAATGTTTACTGACGTGATAAATTAAGTGACAAGTAGAGTAATTTTCTCATAGACATCTATACAATCAACCTTCTTTGATGTATAGATGTGCTATACATACGGTAGTGCTAAGTGTAGCGCTAGTATTAACAGCCTTTGTAGCTCCCTCCAGTAAATGACACAAGGCTGAGGTCTTGATTAAATACGGGGTTTATTCTTGTGGGACCTATTCCAACCCGTGAGAACTCGTAGGCTGCTAGTCACCTAGAGGGGCTGATAACTTTATATGCATTTTTCCCTTGGTTTCTTTAGTTTTCCTTTAACGTCCTGCGTTGCTCTGCCGTTGCAACTATCCAGTGCTTCGATTAAACAGGTGTAACACAAAACACAGCAGATTAGTTCCGCTTCTATTAATGTTGCACATAAAAGGTAGGAACCAAAAATACAACGTGGAACAAATGAACAACAGAAAGTGAAGACAGTTACAGTATAGCTTTTGGGAAATAAGTAGATTTTTAAAATCCCACTACGCCTGTAGATCAAACGCAGATGTGGTTATTTCCACCTTGTTGTGTTTCTCTCATTACTCAGAGACATGTCAGACTATAATCTCCAGCCTGTGTGTCTGTTGGATCTTTACTGGACCTCGGGCGGTTTGCTGTATCTGCTGAGCGCCGGTGTTTCAGGTCTGCAGCGTGGCCTTTAGCCGTGGCCGTTAAAAAGCCATTGAGGGAATGAGGGGCTTGGCTGCTGGTGCCGTGTCTGTTAATAAATGACCTCTTACTGGAATTAGCAACCAACCTGGAGACAGATGGAGGAGGAAGAGGAGGAGGGTGGGGGATGAAGATGAAGGAGGGGAGACAGGAAGAGGGATGGAGGGAGGAAGAGATGCCATATTTCAAATGTATCTCCATTCATTTTCAATGTCTTTGCCCGTCTTGTGCCTTTACCTGGTTATCACGTGAGTCATGTGTACTTGTTTTTAACTGACTGCCTTTAGTTGGGCCAGATGTTCTGTGCAGTTTGCCTCTTTCAAAACTGTAAATTCATCTGAAGGTTCAGAAATTGTCTGTTGCTTTTTGTGGGAATTAAGTTATTTGGACATAAAAACATTTCTAAACGGGTTAAATGTGACTGCGTGAGGAAGGAGCATGGCGTGTCTGCAGTGCCACCTTTCAGACTAATACCTGCCGTTAAAAGAGCCTCCTACATGATGAAGTGCTGGAGGCAACTTTGAGGAAAGAAGCAAACCTTTTTTCTTAAAGGTGGGGTAGGTCATTTTGGAAAAACCAGCTCGAGTGCGCTAGAATTTGAAAATACACAGCCGGAAGAAATCTGCCACTCCCTTACAGAGCCCCTCCTCCAACACACACGAACGCGCACATGACCAATGAGGGCACGAGATAAGTTTGTGCACAGATGGAAGGCTGACAGGCAGGTAGGCCATCCAGTTACTTTAGCCGGGCCGGCTCAGATGATTGGTCGTGCTTTTTACAGCGCCACGGCTTCCACAGATGACATGTTTTTATGGATTTTTTGTCAAAGCACTTCAGATATTCATTACTATCGGGATCTTAAGAGCATTCCATGGAATATAACAGAAAGTGTATCTCGAGCCGGTTTCTCAAACTTACCTACCCCACCTTTAAGTAATCAGGCGTTGTTTTGTCGTCTAATGGCGTCTGACTTAAGGCCGAAGTGAGTCCATTTATTGTCCTCCTCCTCTTAGTCTCTCTCTTTCGTCCTCCTCTTCATCTCTCTCTCTCCTCAGAGCATCCCCTCTGAACGCCCCCTCACTCCCCCCTCCCCTCCTGT